GGTACACTATCGAGTAGATCAGTGAAACTACATCATATGACATAGTTTGTTTAAATCAATGTACACACAAAGGAAGTCAAGGACGGGTTTTGAGTGAATGCACTTTCCATCTCTGGTCTACTGTATCTTGTTTGATGTAGCTGCATAATTTCCAATCTTCCTATATGAAATTGGTGATGGCACTACCTCTAAAAGTAATGTGTTGTTGGGAAAAGTGAGCAGTAATGTAGATATATATGATAAAGAAATGGCATCTGGCTCCATAACTCCTATCTCATCTTTAAAGAACCGTTCGTGAGGCTGTTAAGTGTAAACATTGGTAATCTTTCAGTGATACTTCAATAGTTTGCACGGCAACATAATGGATCCAGGGAGCACTATGTCTTGTTTAGTGGTTTGCTGTGATTGTAAGAGGCGCAGCTGTGGTCCGTATCTCTCACTTAACCTCCCCTCCGGTGAGAGTGTAGACTCCTGTTACTGTAACCGGGGGTGACAAACGGATCGACTCTATCAGAGTAAGCCTCCTGGAGGTGTGAGAGAGACATCTCCTCTCCTCCTGTATCGGCTTGAAGCATGTAACTCTGTTGGGAAGGTGACCACTCATCGTCTGCCAGCCGCTCCCCGGCATGTTAACATTCATTTCCTCCACCCGGTGCGACTCCAGCGCAAATCAACCAATGTTCTCAGAGACGGAGAGAGGGCAGCCAAGAGCCCTGCAGCTTCAATCTATTCCCCTGCCAACTCCCCAGTCCTCTCCTGGAGTTTGATGTCATCCACCTCCGTCTCTACATCTCATTCTCAACATCCTTCTCTCTCTTTCATCCCATCCCCATTTATTCCTCTCGGTCTTACGTGCCGCTCTGAGAGAAGATGCATGATTTATGAAGCTCTATTTTTACCGGTTACTGAGGAGAAAGAAATAGAGGAGCGACAAGGAGAGAGAAAGAGGGGGACATAATGGAGGGAAAGAGTGTGAAGAGCGAGCCCAAGGGGAAGGAGAACAGGAGAGTGTGGAGGAGACATCCATCACCCTGTGACCCCTCTGAGAAGAGACAGAGAAGGGAAGTAGGTTGAGACAGAAATATGATGGATCTGACCAAGAGCAGAGGAGATATACTGCAGAGAACATGTATTGTTACGCACTCGACACAGATGGGTGCTCGAAGTCCAACATCTCTTTTTATGATATCTTCTTTCTGTCATACAATACCTTTTACCAAGTATGTTTATGTTGTTGTCCCCTTTGTGAATACATTAAGCCCATGCTGATTAAATCAAATCCAGTGGGGAAACACGAGCAATAATGAAAAGTCTGCTGCATTTTTATTACCTATTAATCCATTCAAACATGCTGTAGATACAGGAGTTTTAAAAGATGAAAAATATGCATTGTGTTGATCAAAGCCATTATTTCCGCCTGTATAATTGACCCTTTAAGAAGTATATAATATTCATTTAAAGTTAGCAGGTTTTCTAATCACAATCCCTGTCTCAAAAGAGAGGATTTCAGATTTTCTCATCTAACTTCAGACAAGAATACAAAATGTCTTACTAATCCTTTAAGACTTTATTCTTGCTTATCATCATTTGTTATGCAACATAATTATTGCTCATTTCGTTACAAATCTCAATTACGCGTGTTCCTGAACACCTTCCTAAGAGATGTATCACATACCTAACAACTGTTTGTTTCCTTCCTCCTTTGAGGAAAACATCATTCAGTCCAAGAGATCGGAGTATTTCTGCTGCATCAGAACACTTTCTATCAAATCAAAAAGACATGCTTTAATACTGGAGCTTTTCACAGCTTTGAATGCTTCAGGAATTGCAAAACTCTGAGTGAAAAGTATGAAATCTATTTTCCTAACAACCTGCTAATGCCTCGTTTTAAATTAGACCAAGCAAGGAGGCAGAGGCAGAGAGTTAAAATACAACCCGGTGTGGGCATTTATTCATCGCTGTGGTTCATGATACACAGCCTCAATATGACTGTCTCACGTGAACACAGCAACAAGGACCTCACACACACTAACAGGAAAACAGAACCTAAATACACACAGGACTAATCAAACCAACAAGACACAGGTGAGGAGGGAGGAGAAAACACAGGGGCACCAGGTGAACACAATCACCAGCAACAGAAAAGACGGGAGGGGTGTTACGTTCCCTTCTAAATCTAGGGGGTACAAAGGGAAGTAACAACACACAAGGATGACCAAGCACGACAAAAGGAGAGAAAACCGATCAAGTCGTTTAATGAACACAACAGGAACACGGGCTCACCAGCCAACTTGCACAGAATAATAGAGCATCAATATATATCACGGAGCTCCCCTCCTATCAATCGGCAAGACACAGGTCTGCACACATGCAGCCAGAGGAGGAAAAAAGGAGAGCCCACTGCAGTCTTCCTCCGGTCCTATATGGAGGCCCTGATTTGGAATTAGGAGCACCTGGAGAGAGGATGCACCTGGGGACAATCAGGCTGCACCTGGGGAGTCAGAGGGAGAGAGAGAAAAACACACACACGACCACACAAACACTACGGCACGTAACAAGGGGGAACACTTTTCAAACTACAACAGGAAACAGAGACAGACAAACTAAAACATAGACAGATCGTGACAAATAGATACATAAATGACATAGATTCACGTGCTTCCTGTGCAATGTTTTAGCGTGGAACAAAGTAATATACTTCGCCAATAATGAAGCTATATAATATAAGAGACTGAAATCTACGGCCCCAGAGATCACCTCCGTTACAGCGTGGTCATGGTCTGACTCCAATAGAATTGACTCTGCATTTTTGATCACACTCTAGAAGCTATGAGTAATAAATACACTCCAAAATGATTAAATATCACTATTTCAGAGCAAAATAGTAATTACTCTGGAAAAAATACTCACCAATATTTCCTGTGTAGAAGTCAGTTCCTATGCTGTTTGCAGGGAGTAGGTGGAGGAGGAGTGCTGACTCAGGCTCTCCCCTGAGCCTCGAGTCCCCTGAAACACAAACATTACTCACCAAATATCCCCCAATGTGTTGGTACAGCTGTGCATGGCACCCCACCACCTCTATAACACTGATAGTATCATCTTTCCTCCTGAAGCTGTTTGCTTAATAATAACCCCTTGTGATCAGGATTACTTAAGCATGTGATTAAACATTGAAGTGTTCTTATCCACGTGCATTGCCATTGATTTGATCACCTCTACCTTGTGTATTCAAAAGCACAGCTGAATGAAGCCTGAGATGCAGTTGTGTGTGTGTGTGTGTGTGTGTGTGTGTGCGCGCGTGTGCGTGTGTGTGTGTGTTCAGTGCAGATAAAAGTGTGCAGATATTTCCGAGCTCTCACGCCGAGGCAGGCTTTATCTGCAAACTCTCCTGTTGGTTGTGTTTGTCCAGCCCTGGGTGATATTAATACCCAACTAATGAGCCCCTTCCTTGAAGAATCCGGAAACAATCGACGGGTGGGGAGAGGGAGGGGGGAAGGCGGAGGGGCTTAGGCGTGGAATCAGTTTCTCCCTTGTGCCACAACTCCCCTACGGCTTCCCAGGCACGCACAAACAAAAAGAGGAACGCAGCTCCAATCACATTAATCATGGCCTGTGGGAGCACCGGCACTCGCTCCAGGCGCCACGAGAACGAGAGAATTACACGAGAAGAAGAGGAAAAAAAGGTGGCAGAGACAATGGGCTGTCGTGTGTGTGTGTGTGTGTGTGTGTGTGTGTGTGTGTGTGTGTGTGTGTGTGTTCCTCCCAAGCACACGGTAGGGAAGTATTAGAGGAGATGGTTGGTCAGGGATGCGGGGTGTTAGTGAATGCTTGGTTCAGGAAAACTCATCCATCTGTGACTATCTGTGTGTGTGTGTTTGTGTGTATCCTTGGATGACAAGGCTGCATTGATTAACCCTGATGATTCTGTCTTACAGCTGATCAGCATTTCTGTGCTTGTCAGCATTGACAATAAAAAAAAGTGTGTGTGTTTGCCAATATTATTTAGGAGAGCATGTTTAGAGCTTAGGTGAATTATGTTCAAATGAATAACTGCATAACATGATTCATTTTTGTTTATGCAGGGAAATCTGCTCGGTGTGTGTGTGTGTGTGTGTGTGTGTGTGTGTGTGTGTGTGTGTGTGTGTGTGTGTGTGTGTGTGTGTGTGTGTGTGTGTGTGTGTGTGTGTGTGTGTGTGTGTGTGTGTGTGTGTGTGTGTGTGTGTGTGTGTGTGTGTGTGTGTGTGTGTGTGTGTGTGTGTGTGTGTGTGTGTGTGTGTGTGTGTGTGTGTGTGTGTGTGTGTGTGTGTGTGTGTGTGTGGCCTTGCTGTTCACCAGATAAGGATGTCCAGTGCCGCTCACATCAGTATTCAGTAGCAGTGCCAGCCTATTCACTTAAAGAGGAGCTGGGCACAATTAGCTGTTAACATTACAAGGCAGAATTAAGCTTCGGACAGTTTCCCCGCGGGAAATTAAACCACCGGCAAATCATTAAACCACAAGCTAAATATTAACAGCCATTTGCATTTTTATTGCACCTGAAAATAATGTGCCAGGTCCATTATCTCTGAGAGACAGAGAGGGACTCTTTATTTGTTATTGTTATGTCGTCCCGCGTGGAAACACAATGGCATTTAAATGGAGGAGGAAGAAGAAGAAGAAGGCAAAACGAGGGGCCGTTCTTTTTTTTACGCTGCAGTTTTACGGGTGTTATGATTACAAATGGCGGAAACGGCTGGATACAATGACTTGTTTGTTATTCAAATCCGCCCCCGCTTTCATCCCCAAAAATAAACAATCGCTAACAGATGACAATGTGCAGAGGGGCTCAGCTGAGTAAGGCCGGCAGTTTGGCAGCTGACGGGTTCTTACTGTCTGCAGTGTCATTGCTATTGAGAGTTTGAATAAACAGGCTCAGGGCCAGGAACCGCGAGCAATAAAGAACACGTGAGGTGAAGAGGCTCCAGGGATTTAATTCTCCTTTTCTCCTCTCTCCTCTGCAGGTGAGCGGGATGTGTGGAACCACTCCTCAGCGGACCTCTCGCTCAGTGTCATCCCCCCCCTCCCCAGCTTCCTGCCTCCTCTGCAGCCCGCAACACGCAGCCCTCGTCCCAGGACTCTGATGAGACTTTGGCAGGCCTCCGCAGGTGAGAAAAACCAGGAGCCCTAATTCATCCTGAGACCCTTCCAGCTGATGAGGCAGCCCTCGCTCTCCAGAAACCCGGCAGGGGCAGTGCATGTCTCACAGATGAATATTGTCCCTGACACTGTGGACAGGCTGATTCCGGTTTCCTCGTGTCTTGACACTCAGTCTATCGCCTCCTGAGCGTTTTCAACACTCCTGATGCAATAACAGGCTTAAGTGAACAGTGTAATAATGCCCAGCGGGGCTGCTGGCCCTGGACGTACAGTGGACCAGTGGTGAGCCGTGACTTTTATACCTAGGCCCTCTGAAAAAAAAGAATAGTTATTACGTCACAGCGTATACTTCAGCGGAATATCAAAACAGCGGCCCGGGGTAACGCAGCAATGACAGCGACCCTCTACCACACAAAACAACACCATTTATATAAACACTTATCAGGGCACCCACAGCCAAGTAACAATTAAAAATGAATTAAGTCGGCACGGCGGCCCACATTGAAAATGACTTAGGCCTACCTTTGATGATCAAATCACTGAAACACAAAGTCCATCCTCCTGTCCTTTTGGATGCTCCAGTTTATCATTGTAACTCAATCTTGAAAATGACTCGGTTAATAATTTCGCAACGATGTCATCACTATCACTGAAGTGAGCCATCATGAACATGATGCTAATCATAAATCTATCGACCATAAATCTGTCGATTAGATTTATGATTCGAAAACAATAAAAGTAGGGGAGACATGTGGATATTATCCGGCTGAACAAAACGTGCATTTATCTAACAGGTTCGTTTTCCACAGACCTTATTTCCAGCTATTTTCCAAAATCCTATGGAGAAATCCCATTGCTCTTTTGTCGAGGGAACCCGAGCGCAGCTTACTTCCGGGTTTTAGGATGCGTCACTGCACCACTTTATACACATGCATAAACTTCACAGCATGCAGAACTTGTCATAAAGTCCGCGAAAATAAAGCCCACCCATTTAGAGGGAAGATATGATTGGTCAATTGTGCTGTCATTTGACATTACTCTCTCAATAGCCGCATTCACACCGCAGTACTTTTCCCACTTTAGTTCCCACTTTAGTTCCGAAATGTCGCGTTCAGACCAAAAGGAGCCGGAACTAAAATGAGTTAATCAGAACCTTTTCACCCCCTTTTTCGTCCCTGCTAGAGAGCAGGTACTTTCGTGGGAGAAAAAGGTTCCTATGTCTGATTGGCTGGGCGGATTGAAAACCACGCCCTGTAAAACTCCCAAAAAGTTTTGTGAAGCAGCCATTTTATTATCCTCGCATTAGCATTATTAGCATTAGCATTAGCCCAGCGCACAAACGCAGAGAGACTAACTTATGGCAACACAAAAGAAAACATGGGAGCAGTGGAGTGATGAGGAGGTGTCTTCTACTGAAGCCAGTCCCCAACTCCGGGGACTTCCGGCCGGGGACTTCGGGTGGCAGTATACGCCGTGAAGTTGTTTGCGGCCTGCCTGTAAACCAAAAGCAGAAGAAGACGAAGTGACGTCAGCGGCTTATTTGCCTAATCCTTCCCCATGAGCTTATTCCGGTGTGAACGCGATCTGTACTTAGTTCATGAGAACTCTTTAGTTCTCATGAACCTTTATGGGAAAAGTACTGCGGTGTGAATGCGCCTAATAGCCGCGTTCACACCAAGTACTTTGCCGTACTTAGTGCTGGCACTTAGTGCCCCGGCACTTATTACCCCAGGGCACTAAGTACAGATCGCGTTCACACCGGAATAATTTCCCTGAAGGAAGATTACGCAAATGAGCCGCTGGCGTCACTTCGTCTTCTTCTGCTTTGGGTTTACTGGCAGACCGCAAACCACTTCACGGCGTATACTGCCACCCGAAGTCCCCGGAGTTGGGGACTGGCGATACAATCGTATCGTAACGGAACTAAACGGGAAAAGTACGGGGAAAAGTACTCCGGTGTGAACGCGCCTAATGAGTTACTTATATATTATTATAAAACAAAACATGTTCACTTAAATCAGGGAAAAGAAAGGCTTATTTTTCCTTCAACGGTCTGTCAGTCACAGCTGATTACAACCAATACTTTCAGTAACATGAAACCAAATAACTAAAAAACAATCAAAAGTCAACAGAACAGTCAACGAAACAGGTTACCTGACATCTTCATACTGTTTAATTATTCATTCTTTTTACGTTTTATTAAACCTAAAGATGTTCATACAGCCCTTATTTGGTCAAAATGTCCACAGTTAAAGGCAACTACCGAAAATCTGCTTTAGAGTACAAACTGATGCTTAAAGTTACATTTATTTCTATTTTTCTCATCCTCTGAGTTTAAAACAAATCATTTTTTGTGTATTTTCTGGTAGCTTTCTGTTTTTTTCTTAATGGACAACTAAATAAGTCTGTAATTCAATTCAATCTTTTAGTTGTAACAGCCTTGACTCAATTAACAGTGTGTTTGTACTCGGGATTTGCATTATGCAAAAAATCTCACAGCTTTTTTCTGTAGTGTAAATAGGTTTTGAGTTACTCATATGTGTTGCCCAGCACTTCAACACAGTAATGTAAATATGGCCAAATCAGTTAACTACTAATTAATGTCAATTAGGAAAAGAGACACTTATCCTCTTTTCCTTTCATTCTAAGCAGGGTCTCATTGACTTGCTTTCACTGTTATCAAGTTGAAATCTTTTATCTCTGCTTCCTCTTCTTCTCTCGTGCCTCCCCCGTTCACTGTTAGCTACTTTTGATCTTTCTCCCTGCTGAAATGTGAAAGTCATATTCAGATTAACTATTTTATTCTTATATGTGAACATTTCCTTTTTCTTTCCCCACCTCAGGGAGTTCATATCTGACTTGAAGGGCTTCAGCTCGTTCTACAGCGGGCTGGGGGAGGCCCTGTGCAGCCGCGAGCCCCCGCCAGCGAACCACTCCCTCTGCTGGAACGGCCAGGAGATGACAGACAGGTAAATCAGTGTCTCAATAGCTTATATCAACACAGGAGCCCTCTGGATACATCTATTTAAAAAGCACATCCTACATTCTGCTCAGGTTTATTGCCCTTTCTTGATGATCAGTTTTTAAAATAGTCTGATTTCTTGAATTCGCAACGCTCCAGCAGCATCTCGGAGAGTGTAGGTGATTTGAAGGGTACGTTTGCTCAGGGCTGATGAGCTCCATATCCCACGAGGGGGCCCCCCGCTCTCCCGCCGATTGTGAGTGTAAATCTTGACTTTGGCTCTATGGGATGTTATTAATGTCAGGCGTGCTGTCACCTTCTCCTCGCTTAGTTAATTGCCGTTCGATCGTTCTCTCCTCATTCATCCGGCATCTCCCGTGCACCCTGCAGAACCTCATTTGGTTTTGCGTAATATTTCACTTCACCCCTGTCCTTTTAGCTCCGCAAATCATAACTTCCTCCTTTCTGTCAGCCAACGATTTCAATTCCACTTAGATAGTCCTAGATATCATCCTTTTTTTCTCTTCTTTATAAATTATATGTGGAATGTAATCAATGCAGAGGCACACAATTCAGACGAGAAGTGCTGCAGGTTAATGTTTTACCTCTTGTTCCCAAAGAGGACTGAGAATAAATGTTTCCCGAAACTGCTGAAATGGACTCGGATGGAAAAAGAGTGTGAGAGGAGACGTCAGGTTGGCATCGGGGCAGAGCTATCCTGAGGGGATGATTACAAGCTGGACCAAACAGCGATAGGAAGGTGCAGGGAGGCAGGAACGGAGACGAAATGACAGAGAGATTACAATGTCTCCAGGCGAGCAATTCTCCGTGTCACCTGCGAGGGCATATGCCTGCGAATTCTCCCGGTGTATATTTTCCCACTATAACATTTGTTCTGGATCATCTTCCATTATCCTCCCAGATATTAGCTTCTCCAGAGCCCAACGTGACGCTCCTTATCGTATTGTCTCGTGCAGATACATTTAGATTGGGTGGGTGGTTTGGGGGGGGGGATAAGCGCTGCAGGGTTGGGGTACTGAATGTTTCTGGTACTTGAAGAGTGATCTTTTGAGCTAAATGTGGCGTGTTACCATCCCACCTGGAGCCAAGATCAGAGCAGCAACACTTTTCACCACATCAAAGAGCGTCACGCTGATTACTGTGATAACAGATGTGACGCCGCGGCAACTCAAAACATCGAATTTCCATTCCTCTTTTGGATCTAATGAGTGTCAACTAATGTGTGTGTGATAAGTGATACAAGATTAGATACTGTGTCAACTGTGAACAATCGATTAAGGGACTGTATGAAAATGAATAGTGGGTAGAGAATGCCGTAAAACAAGAAAGGGTGCTTTCGTTTTTTGGGGACAGCAGGGGACGTTTGTTTTATCTTTATAAATTGCTGTTTAGTTTTATCATTTATTTGCAAAAATAGTTAAAAGTCATGTTAAACGGTATGACCAAATAGATAGTTTTCATGTTCAGGACACGAGATCTGCCTCTCTGTCAGCGTTTCAATAATGTATTAATGTATTTTTCATGAACAATGCATATTGATCAACATCCCAAGTCAAATGCTAATGTCATCATGGGAACATGCTCACAATGACGATGCTAATATGCTAATTATTAGCATAAAAAGCTAGGCAAATGCTTAAAACCTGCCTTCTTTCTCAAATCCAGCAGGAAGTGGTGACTCAAGTGGCTTGAAAATAAGTGATGTTGAATGGAAGACTATGAGACATTGAACCCACTTTCGCCCTGGATGTATTGCTTAATTGTAAACATGAGTTTATTGTTTTAACTTTAGATTCAAATCTGCAATCTGTCTAATATCCATCAGGAAATCACTCAACTGGTTTGCAAAAATAAGTCAGATTGTATAGAAGACTATGAGAAAATGGGTTTGTCTGATTTGGTTGTTTTCTGTGTTAAGTCATTCACATGTTACCCTTCCACAGTGTTTTCAGTACATGAAAATTAATTGCTACATTTTGATAGCCTGGTAATGTTTTGTTCAGCGTTTTGGTTGCTCCACCCTCTTGAGTAACTTGTTGTTCCAAAATAAATAAATAAATGGTGCCGGCCACACTCTTGGCCTCAAAACCAGTGGGTGGAGCCACAGTGACCACATTAGGTTCTTATTCATATAGTCTATGATGTATGTTTAGTATGTATATGCTATCTTATTTTACGATGTTACTTTTCTAAAGGGGACTTAATGAAAACAACCTAAACACAAAGTACAGATGTGACTGATGGAAATGTCATTAGTTTGGAAGGTATTTGATCAAACAAAAACAAAAGTATTGGACAAAACATAACTTTGAACTGATGGTGGTGTCAGAGAAAAAGTCAGGGGATCACCGAAGAAAGAAAAATACATTGTCTAGGGACCTTGGATATCTGTACCAATCTGTAGCAATCCATCAATAGTTTAAAACTTTAAATATTTAGGGCTAGACTAAAGTTCTGCAGAGACAGATATGCACCCACATTGCTGTCCTTAGGTCCCTGCCACAAAAGGATAAGAGCAATCTCACTGGTGGCAGACATTTGAAATCTCGGTAGGGTAAAGTAAACACTATCATCCTTGAGGGGTAATTTGTAGCTCAGCCAGCAGTGATACAATTATCACACAAAACACACAGATTAAGATACTAAGATTATATTTGAGGTATACTACTAACCATTTGTACCAATTTTACACTGTTATTTGCATGTTATTGTAAGGGTATTGTAGTTTGTGGTTTAAAAAAGAAAACATTAATACTCCTGGAGAGTTCTTCCTTTTCTTTTTTTAAAGCAAAAGATAACATTTAGCCCTCCCTCACTAGCCTAATATCTTTCATACAGTCGCTATATTTAGGATATCATTTAAATTAGATCTTAATCAGGATGACATTCAGCCTGAAGAAAAACAGTGTATTAACAACCACGCTGTTCACACCCCGCAAACATCTGACCGCGTGTGTCTCTCTAAGACTGGAGGTGTGATCAGGTGGTGTGAAAAGCGTCTGCATTATAATGTTCCCCCAACACCTGGAGTCTCCTCTGTTGTTTATTCTGACGTGAGATCTCATTCAGACTGGACCTAACAGCATGGTAATTGGTGTTAGATTAGATTAAGTTATCCCAGCAGCTAAGTGATAAGCTAGCAGCAAACATAACACAAGGATCAGATAAAAAACTGACAATCGAGACGGTGAAAAGAGTTTAACGGTGATACACACTAAATCATGTCTCGGTCAAATGATCCATCCATGGAGTGAAACACTAACCTGCCTCGGGTGTTTATCTCCTCTCAAAATCTCCCTCCCATAATCCTCCTCTCTAGACCCATATTTCCTCTTTTTCCTCTCCTAATGCATCACACTCCTCTCTCTATTATTAATGTGATGATTAGCGGCTGAGAAGGGGTGAGATCATGGTTAATAAGAAGAATAAATAACTGGGGAAATGTAATTTGAGTTTAATGAAAAGTCTGGCTTCGGGTAGTGCCAAAGACTGATGAGCGGAGATGGCAGGTAAAAAGTGTGTGTGTGTGTGTGTGTGTGTGTGTGTGTGTGTGTGTGTGTGTGTGTGTGTGTGTGTGTGTGTGTGTGTGTGGTGTGTGTGTGTGTGTGTGTGTGTGTGTGTGTGTGTGTGTGTGTGTGTGTGTGTGTGTGTGTGTGTGTGCCCGGGCAACAGCATAGAGATGAGTATGACCTCATGCTTTGCACACACACTCACACGCTATCTCACTCCTTTTCTTTCTTACGAAAAAATAATTTCCCCCAAGTTATTGCAGCAATATATCGGATGGCATTTATGCTGACATCTGACATCCCCAGCACTCATATCACTGTGGTGCCCTGGGGGAGGATGTGTGTTTGATTTTGGCTCATCTAAACGCTTGTTTCATGTGAGGTGGGAAGGGGTTAATTCCTGGTACTGCCAAGAGGGAAGAAACACCTGCAGGAAAGTTTAGGTCTCCCCAGCTCCTCCTCCTCCTTGATAACATACACAGGTGTCAACAGAGCCGTGTTTCCTCAGTTACACACAGGGACATGTAAGCACCTGCCCAGAGGCTGCATGAACCTAAATATACCCTCACTGTTGAAACAGGACACAAAGTACATCTCTGCTAATGTCCTCTCATTAACACCAGATATGATTAAAAGCCTCTAATAGCCCTGTTTAATGTGCAGAGATTCAGCCAGACTTTGTAAAATGGTCCTTTAAGGATTCTTTTTTTAACCCTCATGGCAAAAGTTGTAAAACATTTTATATCAATATTAACAGCCTCTTTAAAGTCCGATGCTGAAACATTTTGGTCCAAAATATTTTCCTTCAAAGAAGTCTCTGCCGCTTTTATTAAAAATATAAAAAGACACTGAAACATTTAAGATATTATAGACGTAATGTCTTCAGCTAGGAAAAAGTGAGTCCTCCAGATTGGGTTCAGTTACAAATTAACTTTCCAGCTCTGCTCCACTAAACCAAAAATAAAGGGAGAAGAGCTGTCATTCATCCTATCAACACTAGGTGGTGACAAGCGCCTGGTTTGGAGTGATTGAGCAGCCGGTCATTATGTGTTCCTCTCGTCATGCTTCCAAGGTTTTTTTTTAAATCTTTGAAACTACTTTAAACAATCAGAAACATAACCCCTAAATCCCTTTTCCTTTTTTCTGTCCTGTCAGGTTTTCTGGGCCTGGCTTGAAGAGGTCGCACCCCGGCTCTGAGTCCCGAAGCAACAAACCCCCTGAGCCAATCATCAGCCAGATCATAGACAAACTCAAACACATCAACCAGGTGAGCTGTGTCCTGGTGTCTCTTCTACACCTTTTTTCATTCATAATTCCTGAGAGTTTTTGTTTTTAACTGTCTCTATTTTATGGTACGTTTTCACACTTAAGTGAGTTTCTTTGTGCCCTCTTCCCTGTGTGGGGTGTAGGGTCATTAGTTCTACGATTGATTTCCACGCTGTACGAAAGTGAAAATGTGAAAAGAAGATGCTTTCATGTAGCCTTTCTCGCTTAAATTAAAAGAAACTCCACTGAGAATCTGTACCCTTCTACAACACCTGGTTCTTTTAACCCCTCCCCCTAAACATTTTGGGGATTTGAAATGTCTGATTAGAAGTTATTTTGTGTCCCATCTGCACTGCTTTACAAAATGATTCCACAAAAATCCTACCAACTTGGCAACCGGACAAGGACAAGTCTTCTGAAGGTGATGGGGGTTGTTTTGACGGACAGAGTAACACAGTAAACCCCAGCTATCATCAAGGCCAAAGCCCCCTTTTTGTCCTGTTGCCATGGAAACCACCTTTTGGAGTGGGCTGGCGGAGCTGCTGGGATGCAGGCTTCACTCAGACTCTGTAGGTAGATGTATCAGCCCACAGATCTGTCTGTACTTCCTGCTTCTTCGTGGTTGCACTTGTAGCTGTCAACACGTCAAATGCTGACCCCCTTCTACCCCCCCCCCCCCCCCAACACAGGCAATCTTTCCAACTGTATAGCGTGGGTGCGTTTTTGTCTGCATATATGTGTTTGAGCTTCTGAGTGCTGCGGGCCTGTCACAGCGGATTACAATCCCTCTCTCCTGTTTAAACAACCTGGGAGATCCAAGGAACAACGGGGGACTTTCATGCGCTCCCCATCTGACAGCCAGAGACCCTCAAGAAAAATACAGAGGGTTGTGTTTTGGGACGCTGTCATTTTCCCAATTACTTATGCTGTATTACCTCATGCACACATGTGAGAGGCGATACTTGAACACGAGTGTCGTTTTTTCTCATTACCCACACAATTCATACTATGAGATGTCTGTAGCTTTCTCGTGGATGCATGCTTAAGATCTTGAACCTTGAGGTTGATACCGGGAAATGTCCTGAACAAGGGCTGCATTATATTACTGTTTGTGCATAGGTCTTAGCATCCTTTTGTTTAGGTAAATCATACCAATTGTGTCTTAATTTCTTTATGGCATCACTGACAAGTAATCTTTTATTAGAGCCACATTGCTAAAATGAAGTTCCTAAAGGCAAGAAACAAAAGCGGTCAGATAATCCGACATGTTATAAACAAGCATGCCAGATTGTTTTCAAACCATATATTTCCTCCCAACAACAGTAATAATTGACTGCTGACGTTTGTTTTGTGTTACCAATTAATTTAGCTAGCCTGTCCATTTTCCTTAAATCAATATAATTGTGTGCGTGTCCTTTGCCCTCCTGACTCTAACCTTCCCATGCCTCAGCCGTCAACTTGTTGAGTATAATGTTTTGAATACCAATAGGCATGTTGGCCAAAAACTACGCAAACAAAACCAAATGTAGATGTGTGTGTTTATGTGTAATACACTGGAATCACACACTAATCTTAAAAACACAGGACATGTACAAATACGCACTCTAATGAAATAAGCCTTTCAAAACTTCCTGCTCTGACAGGGACAAACATTTGTACCCGTGTGATTCCGAGCAGAGCCTCTGCACTGCAGACTGTTTACCATGGGGATCAGGTTCCTGATGGGCTTTTGATGAGATTCTGCAAGAAAATACAGTTTGGGGAAATGACCGGGCTTATTGTGTTACAGATAGATATTCAGACTATCCCTTAGAAACATGCACCCTCTCTGGGCATGTGTGTGTTCAGATGCTCTCAGTAACCTAACACTCGCCTCTCATTGGCTCCCAGGTCCCACTGATGATGTGGTGTACATGTGGACATTCATGTGGACATTCATGTGGGTTTGATTCTGTTTACATGATATTTATGCAGATCGACTATTCACATGGGAGCTTTTAATCCCGTATCTGATGACCGTACAACGGGGTCAAGCACATTTCTGCTTAAACTCCAACTTCTAGACTTTTAGATCTCCACATCAATAGGCTGGATTAACATCTGACTGCGCTTGATTGCATATTTATTTTTGCAGTAAAACTGTTTTTGGACTCACAGGCATTTGTGCAAAATTCCGATTACACAAATATTTGTACTTCAAATCATCACTATGTGAGGGATACACAAAATAACAGGAACGCCTTGCTACATGATGCAATATAATACAATAGTCTTGCAATAAAAACTCCCCTTGTCAAGTTCGCAATATTATGAATGTTCTCTTGTGCCTGAGAAAGCTCACTCAACTCTGTGGTCACTTTTGAGGTTTTTTATTTAGGGTGTTTATGTATCAATTTCCATTGTATTGTAAGCTTTTCCTGTTATTTTCCCCATCATTTGGATATTGAAATGTTCAAACATGGAAAAAATGTGTTGTTCCCTGCTAAAGTAAGCATGACACACCAGTGTACAGACAGTGAGGCTATACACACGGTGCTCTGAGCTAAATGCTAACATTCTGATGTAAAGCAAATTATAATGTATGGTTTTAGTGTAAGCATGCAAACATTTTATAATATTACTAAACTCAAAGTACAGCTGATGGTCATGAACAAAAGAATACTGGACTATAACTTTAAATGTTGAGCTATTGATACAAATGTTAATAGAAGTAATTAGAATCTATTCACAAGAAGACCATGAATGCACATCATCTGTATTTCTTTACAACATTCTGAGTCGTTCCAAATAGATGGTATTGAGAGATTTGACTAGATCAGTAAATATTTGAACCGGCTGGTGACACTAGAGGCTCCCATATTTTGCACTTAATAAGTCTAATGTGAGAGAATATCACACAATACATGTTTGTATTCAATGAAAAAGATATTAAATGTTATTTGACCAAGTTTTACACGTACTTAACATGTTTCCACACAGATTACCAATCGAACAATGCAACTGACATCAATTTGCCGGAAGAAAAAGACTGAACTTAAACATCAAACAAATAATACAAATAAGTATAAATGTATAGAGAAAAATATATAGAAATCAATTGAGAAGGATAAGTTAAGAAATAAGATAAGTGAAGTGCGTTACTATTAGTGGGCACATAATCCAAATAAAACACAGATTTTAATATTGATAAAAAAACTAAAATATAATTTGTTATAAAAGATCGGGTGAACTATGAACACTTTTAAATAAAACATTTTATATAATACTTATTGAAGTATAAAGCCTTTTTAAACCAATATACATATTTGTTATCATGATCATTGAAATGAATTAATCTGAAAACTCATTAACCTCCAGCAGAGTGGCACAGAAAAATCCCTGCACTTGAATACATCTTGGAATTAGCAAGTCATTTATTTATCCTCAGGCAACCACGAATCTCTTCCCCAAATTTCATAGCAATCCATCTAACCCTGGTTAAGGAATCAAATAGGTCAAACCAACCGACTGACATAAAGATCCACGATGATATAGAGTGACAAAAAACACATCTGCCAGCAATGAATGCATGATTTCAGAGTCAGACAACTTTATAATCCTGCTGTGTTTCACAAGGCTTGCTGCTCTGTTGTAAACAACCTCTGAAGGCACTGGAGAAAGTGATGTTGTTTAGTTAAAAGCACTTTTACAAGGTCTCCGCCTCCCCGCCAGTTGAAAGACCACCAGCTCTGGATGTTGCTGTTCTAAAAGCAAATGGACTAATTAACCATCTCATACGAGTGACCCGCCCTGTTTATAAGCGGAGTGTATGAGCACAACAATGAGATAGTGTGTGTGTAATGTTCCTGTAAGTCAACCAGGAGACTGCCATGCTGATTTAAAGTGCAGTATTTCAGTCTCGTGATGTCGTCTGATGTTTGAGCTCGGAGTACAGTATGTTCAGCTGCAGACTGAAGAATGTGTGCATTATTGTCCTTTTATATATTCAGCTCCACATTCAGGACATGGGTCACTCACATTCTGTTCTTTACAAGTCCTCTACGACTCTTTTATCCTGCGCACGTTTTCCATTTGAATGAGCTCTTGGCTCAAGCAGTGAGCACAATCAATGGTTCTTCCAGCATGTTCTGACCCACTTTTCTAACCGCGGATCAGTCTCAGCCCAGAGACTATGTCATAAAATATAGGGGCCACTTTCCCTAACAGTGAGGGGAACATGGGACCCCTCCAAAGAGTCCACTTCCTTCCAACTTTAATCCCCCTGATGTTTCATTCCTGCACTCCTAAGTGCTCCGTGATGATGGCCCTGTGAAATGCAAGTATGCAGCGGAAATGTGTCATTTCTCACGTTGTCAGTGTTGATCGGAGAATCTGCAGAAACAGACAGTCTGGCATGGAGAACCCTTGCCTTTGTGCCTCTGTGAGGTTAAACTAAACACTGAAAAGAAAAAAAGATGTCGGAGCCGGTCGCCTGAGCTTTATAAAACAACGCTTTCTCACGCCTATAGCAGCTGATGTCATAACTGAAACATGGCCAAGTTTAAAGTGAACTGTGCACTGTAAATGGATGAAGAGAAATGACTTTCTCCGTCGGTTATTGCTCCTCGACTTGGAATCTTTAAACAGCGCTGGACTGCGAGGAGCCAGGGACTTTTCTGTGACTGCTTACACTGTGTAGCACATTCCTGTGTGAGGTCCTGTCTGCACTCTGTGCCCTGTATATACATTATGCTAAACAGAGATCCTCAGTACCTAGTTACATCAAATAAACATAATTGTTACTTAGAAAATATCTAATTAAGTTGCTCTTACTAGTCAAAATATTGGTGATTACAAAGGGATTACATCCTGCTTTTCTAATAAAATCAATCTTAATTCAAGTTATATGAAATAACTTTAAGAGAAAGCCTGAAACGCCTCCTTTGGACTACTTTGTTTACTTCCGGAACATGGTGAAATCACTACGTAACTCTTGCCTTTCTATTGGCTATCGCTCCAACA